GCCGCGCTTCCCAAGCGGCGCACTGTAGCAGTGTGCCACCGGGCTGGCCCCACAATGATCTTTTTAACACAAACCCAACCATGTCACTCCCCTGCTTAAATTGCTCCAATACAGCGGTTCTCACCCTTGGCACTACTGACATTTCAGGGAGGAGGGGGCTGTCCAGTGCACTGTAGGATGTTTAGCAGCTCCCCAACCTCTATACACACTAGGTACCAGAGCACCCACCTAAAGGGCGGCAACTAAAAACGTCTCCAGAGGGACTGGCCAGTTGCTCAGTTGGTTAGAGTGTGGTGTTAAAGCACCAAGATCAAGGGTTCAGCTCCCCTTATTGGCCAGCTGCCAAAAAACACAAAATGTCTCTAAACTGCCAAATGTCCCCCACTGAAAGATTATCCCCCATTTCGCCAAGACCCCCTGCTCTAATGGAGTTCCACTGCCCCCAAAGCCCAACTCCGAACTCCTTTCCAAGGCCCTCATTGTTGCAGCCTTGTCTTTCTGTAATCCCTTCCTCCAGCACACACACATGGTATACAGCCCCCACGCTTCCCATGTTGCAGTCCCCCAGAACTAATCCTGCTTTCTTGCCTTGGGGAGTCTTTGCACACATTTGCTCTCTGCCCAGACAGGGCACTCTTTGCTGCCACCCCCCACCCGGCCTCGGGATGCCCTCCCAATCTCCTCTCCCCCTCACCCGCCTAGACTGCATTAGGGGACCCTCCAGGGTCTTGTAGTAGCACCTCAGGCCCCTCTCCCACCAGACCCTATTTCTCTTTATTTTCTGTAAAGCTGTAAGTTACTAGAAGGCAGGAGCTATGTCTTATTCCCTGTTGTTTCCCTAGTGACTAGCGCAAGCAACGAATAGCCATTGCTGAGGGACAAATGTTAACGGAGCCCACCTGAAGTTCTAAAATGTTCTTCTCTTTTGTCTCGGCTGCCAACATGCCACCCGGACTGGGGAAGACCCTAAAACTTCGAGGCCACGTGAGCCAGCTGCATTATCAAGCACCTTCAGCAAGCACCAGAAGTACCCAGGAGGCTGGGGTAATGCTGGTGGCATGTGTTGACACAGGACCAACTGGGACAAATTCACCCAGGTTACTTTGGGAAAGTGGGTATGAGGAACCAGAGCTTCTGTCCAAATGCCAACCTTGATAAATTGTGGACCTTGGTCAGTGAACAGACCCGGGTAAATGCTGCCAAAACAAGTCTGGAGCAGCTCCAATCACCGACGTGGTGCCATCGCGCTACTACACAGTTCTGGGGAAGGGAAAGCTCCCAAAGCGGCCTGTCATCGTGAAGGCCAGACTCTTCAGCAGTAGAGCTGGGGAGAACATGGGAGGGTGGGGTGAGGGGAGAGTGTTGTATTCTGGTGGCTTGAAACCACAAGAAGGGAGGTTCATGAAATGCTAACAAATGCTTTTGCGGGGGAGGGGAATGCCGTGAGCATGATCATTACTAGGCAAATTTAAAAGAGTGCGAAAAAATGCTCTCAGCTGACCAATGCATTTATCCACTGGACTACGGAGACACCTGGAGCTGTGATTATCAAAACAATCACCAAAGGCTTTCTGGAAAGGATGCTGGTCTG